AGTTTTAAAGCCACCAGGTCCGGGACACGAACCGCGGTCGACTACGTGGGAATCCAGCGACATAGCCATTACGCTAACTGCTGGTTCCCTGGACATTAACCTTTTAAATACAAATTTTGAGGGACACTTCTGGTGTGAGGAGCTGGTTCCTTGGAGGAGTACCCCGCGTGGGAGGGCATATAGAGGCTGTGTAGTGGGCCTGATGGGAGTTTAAGTCAGACAGGCAAGCCTGGGCTGGGGAAAGAGGCCCTGCCTTTGCCACCCTGTGGGCCTCTGTTCCAGCTGAGCCAAAGGGTCTGAGCCTTTGAATCGCCCATCCCTAAATCAGCTTCGCTGTGATGCCCCACCCCACCCCTTTGGTCTCTGGTACCCTGGAGTCAGTGTAATAAATGGGGCCGGCAGGTGGTGGTGGTGTTGTGGCACTGGCTCCCACGTGGCTGGCTGCACGGTTTGAGTCCTGGACCACCGTGCTTGAACAGTATGCAGGCTGTGCGTGCAAGCCCAAATCCCGAGAGGAGAGTGGAGGTGGCGGGGAAATGTGGCCGTCTGCCTTGGGGGTGCGTTCTCATTTTCCCACTCTGCATGACGAGTTCATGTGCTCTAGATCAAAAACTAAAAACAGAATAAACAGTTCCTTTCACTCTTAAAAACATGATTTGGGACCAGCAGATGGCGTAGTGGTTAAGGTGCTGGATTCCCACATGACTGACTACGGTTCAAGTCCGAAACCCAGCAGTTTGGGAATCATGTAGAGCGCATGTATATGGGCCCAAAATCCCGAGAGGAGAATGGAGGAGAAGGGGTGGCAGTACGGCCTTCCCCTGGGGAGGGGGTGGTTCTCATGTTCCTTCTCTGTCTCTTCAGTGCATGTGCTCCACAGTTGGACGGGTGGATGAGCGCATCAGGGTTATTTGATACCTTGGGCCAAAGAGGCTCAAGGATGAAGGCAGCCAGCCTCGTTCGTGACCCCGTGGTCCTGAAGAGCTGCACTGGCCTTTGTACTCATGTCCTTCCTTGTCTCATCACGTAAAAGCCCACAGACTAGAATTTAGCACTTAGCGTCTTGGTCTTTAGGTCAAGGCAGTGGCTTTGTTGGATAAGTGTTGGTGCTTGGCTTGGCCCTCAAGGCTGAGAGAAGCTGGGCTCGGCCAGGAGGGGCAGGGTACATGTGGCTCCTAGCTGGGGCTTCTGGAAACAGAGCCTTGCTCAGACTGGTGTGTGCTGATGTGTCTCCGGTTGGCTTTGCCAGGGCTACGGGGACCATAAGCCCAAGTCCTCCACTGCAGCCCAGGAGGTGAAGACTCTGGACGGCATCTTCTCAGAGCAGGTGAGTGGCTGCCGCACTCACCATTTAAGAGCAGAGGTCCCGAGGCCCGCCCTGGGCCTCCCCGCCTGCTCCGTGGCCTTGTTTCTAACCTCTCCTCTGCCAACTTTCCTGCCACTTTACACTAGTGTGTTCTTTTTTTTTTGGTTGTTGTTTGTTTTTGAATTTTAGACCAGGGAGGGCAGGAGTCAGGGTCCTGTTGGGTTCACCCCATAGTCTAGTGGTTAAGGAAGCCGGATCCCACATGTGTGGTTCAAATCCCAGACCCGGAAGCTTGAGAAACACTCTTGGTGCCTGTGCATGCATGCTCACGATCCTGACCAGATAGAAAGGTGGAGGAAGAAGAACTGCAGTGTAACCATCCTCTGGAGGTGCTTTCTCTCTCTGTCTCTAGAGCTCATAAGGCCTTTTGCAATTAAAAAGAAAGATGGGGTCCTGTCACACCATGATCCCCTCTCCCACAGCCTGGTGATGAAGAGATGAGGTACCCCGAGAGGAAGGGCTATGGACTGAGAAAGGACAGACAAAAAAGTGGGCGTCAGGCGGCCTCGGCACCTCTGAAGGGGATCACTGTGGCCCCAAGCCGCTCTGTGCTCGTGCTTTTATTGGGGCGGTAAAGCCGCGTGCTTTCTATGTTGACTGCAGCTGCGGAGCATCTCAGCTAGCCTCTCCTGGCCTTTTCTGGCTGACTCTCAGATTTCTTCTATCTGTAAAGTCCATCAGTAGATCGTCTTTGTTAGAGCTTTGGCTTACCATGCAGCATTAGCCCAAAGACTGCATCCCCTTTAAGGCACTCCCTGCACCCCTGCACAGCCTGCCAGAATGCCCCAGGTAGACCAGGGACCCCAGCCCGTGCTCATAGCACTGTAGTCCGATGTGCCACTGCCAGTGGCTGGGCCTACGCTTGAACTTTCTGCAGGAGGGAGAGGAAGTGCAGGGAAATGCTGGTCAAGCACTGGTTATCCTTGCCTTGATGACGCACAGCACAGTCCAGTCATGGCAGATTCCTAGGGCCGAGTGCATGGCTAGCATCCCCCACAGACCATCTTCCAGGACCCCGGTGGGCACTGCCATACCCGTGCAGGTCCACTGAGTGGAAACCCCGGGAGGCAGGTGGTGGGGCGAGACACTGCTATTAGCCAGCCAGGCTGCCAGCCCTGCCAGCCAAGGCACAGGTGGGATCTGATCCAGAAAGGGTGGGACAGGGCTGGATGCTAGGTTCTCAGGTCCCCCATGCGCCCCTGCCGACAGAGCGCTCAGTGTGGCTGCTGTGTGGTCTTCCGTTGCAGCCTTGGAAGGCTTTGGTGGGTAGGGCCTTGGCCATGGACGGAGATTATCTTTCAGTAAAGGGTTTTATTCACCTACTTGAGGATTGTGGCTCAGCTGTGGCCGCCATCCATGAGCCTCATGCGTGGGCCTCAGCCACAGGGGTGAGGTTGGTGCAGTGCTTCCGTGACCTGGCACTGGTTTGTCTCCTCAGGTCGCCATGGGCTACTCGCACTCCTTGGTGATAGCGAGAGATGAAAGCGAGACTGAGAAAGAGAAGATCAAGAAACTGCCAGAGTACAACCCCCGGACCCTCTGATGGCCCCGGACACCCTCCACTCCACACCTCGCGCGGCAGCTGTCATTTCCACATGCACTGGGACGGGAAGTCAAATGAGGAATTGAAAAAAGCAAAAAGTTGACCGAAGGTGCATTTTGTTCGACTCCCAGAGGTTCCGTTTTATAAGTGATTCAACGTTAACTACCTTTTTCTGTATACTTTCCAAAGTTTTTTTTTTTCTTTTAATGATTAAAATATTTGCTCATAGTTGATTTACCATTCCTACAAAAGAAGCAAAAACTTTGAGCAATCTAGGTATTTTTTAAGTTGTTTTTCTTTTTCCCTCTTCTGAGTACACTTCCCAAAACATCCCTTTGCGATTGTAATCAGCATTGTGACCCAAGTGGGTGCTCTTCGGAGAGGAGTCACCAATTACTCAGAAATGCTGTCCCTTAGAGGAACCGCAAGCATCTGGGCGAAGACGTCCCTGGTGGCTGTTTTCCGTCACAATCACGCTCGCGAGCTTTGGAAGCCCCCGGGCGCTGCTTCCCGCGTTTCTCAAAGGCGTCCGAGGCCAGCTTTGGTTCTGTTCTCCGCTTGGCTGCTTGTAAGCCCCCCAGCCTTCGGGCTGTGACATTAATAGAAGCTCCTGTTTCCCCCCTGGTGGGGGACTTGGGGTCTGTGTTTTAGCCATTTATATCTACTTTAGCTGTAAAAGAAGTAAGTCCAAATGAAAATCAGGTGATCGTGGACCCATGGGGACTCGGGGGTGGGCAGAGTGGGGACGTTTGTATCTGTCGAAAGACCCAGCTTTATGGCTCCCTGAGGAGTCAGGGTCCTGTTGTCAGTCCTCGCCAGTTAGGTTGTCCGGCCAGCAGCGACACGTGCACTCCGTAGGGAGAAGGCTTGGCCCTGGTGTGCAGCCTTCGCCGCCCTCGCGCTCGGTCTGTCTCTCCCCGCCGGATCCTGCCGAGGGCGGCTGGTCCTGTTTCTGGGACTCGGCGGTTTCCCAGCTCTCTAGTTGCATTTGCTCGGCTCTGGTACCAAATAGTTGGGATTCCTAAAGCAGCCCCCTTCCCCGTGTCAGCGCAGACACTGTGACTGCCACCCGCTTGCTGTCAAGTGCCCTCCGCCCACGCTTGTCACCAGTGTCGCACTGTGTGAGTTCCGAGGTGCCTTTCCCGGAACCCTCCTCTCACCTGGGCCCAAGAGAGGCCCCAGCCCTGGCTGGGCTCTTGGTTTCCAGAGGGTCTGGACTGGTTTGGGTGCTTTAAATAGGTTTTTAGTTCCGTGGTGCTTATGGGGGAGGGGAATAGAACTTAAGTGTGAGACTTTTGTGGATGGGAAAGTTATTTTTTTTTTTTTTTTTTTTTTTTTTTGCTTTTGCTGTTGTTATCATTTGTCATTGTCTCGATGTTAAAATGCCAAAAATGATCTAGTCGTGTTGCTTTTTTCTTCATCTTCCTGCCCAGTCACTGCCTACAGTGACTTCTGCCCTCGCAGGGCATGTAACTGTGTCTGTCCCAGCGAGTCCCAGGCCTTGTGGGAGACTGACCTGCGTCTTCCTGAGGCTCAGTCTGATTTCATGCTGGTCCCTGCTGTCCTGTGTCCAATCAGTAGTCCAGGGAAGAAGCTTCTGCTAAACTACCCTGATTTGTCCAAATCGCTCAAACCACCACCTCTGGCTCCAGCTTCCGTGTGTCGAACCTAATCAGCTTCCTTGGACAGGTCTCTTTCCTGCACTGTGGCTCAGACATCTGTGCTCCTTGAACCCTGGAGGTCTCCCTGGAGTTCTGTGCTCAACCAGAGTGTTGAGAAAACAGTGTCCTGGGTCCTGAGCTTTTGCAGGGGCTGCCTTGGCTGAGGTGGGCTTAAATCTTCTGGTGGACTAACTCCATGCTGGCAGTAAGCTACTCGTGACCCCTGCCTGGGACTGGAGTAGGAAAGGACCTTGGAGTCAGGCTGCTGGCGCCATGTCCTCCCCGCAGCCACTCCCTATGGTGGAGAATCTTCAATGAACTTCCCTAGGACAAGGATTGGTGGGGAGGGATTCTGCACTTACAGAAAGGGCACAGCGGCCCTGGCTGGGAATGGCTCCTGCCAGCCCTGCAGGTATCTGACAGTCTCCCAGTCCAGCAAGGGGGTTTAAACCCAGAGGCTTAGAGTGAAAGGGAATCAAAGAGGTTGTGATTTGGTCGAAGGTGCCTGGTTTAGTGCTGTAATTGTCTTATTTTTTTTTATATATATATTTCTTGGAGTAAACATTTTAAATAAACGACATCATTGTTTACTCGGTCTTGGCCTTTGCGTTTCTTTGTCAGTAGAGCGTGCCACATCTAGCAGCTCCAATATCCTCAGCTTCCTGTGCACGTACCCTCAACTCCAGGGCCCACAAAAGAGGGTGCCAGGAGAGGTGACCCCAGGCCTGCTTCTAGGCTAAAACCACACAGGGCTTGCACACTGAGGGGAGCCCAGCTCTGCCCGTGCGTGTGCAGGGGCTGCCTTGGCTGAGGTGGGCTTAAATCTTCTGGTGGACTAACCTGATGCTGGCAGTAAGCTACAGTGGGGCTTTGAGACTGTAAGACGTGATGATGGGAAGTACCCAGCACAGCGACAGGCGCGGGAACATGCATTTACACATAGGACACCCCCCAGTTCAGAAGGGAGGCCTGCTGCTACCTCAGGCTGGCACCAGCCCCTATGGGCAGTGCAGACAGCTGCCCAGCAGGAGGCCATCCTGGGTCCTGAGCTGCTCCTGGCCTTGGCTGAGTTCTAGCCCAGTTCAGCTTCTGCACTGCCAGCCCCTCACTGCAGGCATTACCCACACCCCAGGGACAGAGGCCACAGCCTCAGCTGCAGAGCTGCACGATGAACACCTTCCTCCCAGAGCACCTGACTACTGGTGGGAAGTGGGCCGTGGCTCAGGCAGCAGCCCCAGGAGTGTGGTCATTTAGTGGGCATGCACAGCGTTAGGTCACACTCGAGCTCCTGTAAGCCACACCAGCAGTCTCAAGGAGTAGGAAATTTCTTTTTGCTACTGGCCATGTGCTTGCTAGAGAAGTGAGAAAGCACTCCCCACCCCCGTGGGGGATGGCCACACTGTGGTCTCCATTTCCTCCTCTTTCCTGGATTTTGGACACTCATGTTAACCAGTGTGTTTCTCAAGCTGCCGTACCCAGGACTCAAACCACAGTTGGCCATGTGGGATTCAGCCACCTTCATCACGCCATACGGCTGGCTCAGGGGCCACTTCCCCTGGGGTGAAAGTAAGTCGCAGAGGTGTCTGGGTGAGGCTGCAGTGAAGGCAATGGGAAGCCACACTTGGAACCAGTTTGCTAAAAGGCCCCGATAACAGACACCTCTCCCCAGGAGTGTGGGTCTGGCCGAGGACAGGAGCCCATGCAGCCTGTGGCCACAGCTGCTTTCAGGGCCATGAAGACTCGCCCTTTCCTGAGCCACTTTGGCACCCATCACAGAAGACGGTGGGGGGCGTTCCAGTCTGGGGTCCAGCAGAGCCGGTATCTGGTCACTGTTGGAAGGGACCAACTTGTAGAAGTTGTGTGTACGGGAGGCAGTCTCCCTAAGTGTAGATTAGGAGTTCATCTGCGAGCCTGCGGCCGCCCCACTACTCTGCCAAGCAAGCAGACAAGGCCTTTGCCCTGGCCTCGGTGGCTCTGTAAGCCCCAGGAGAAGGGCCTGGAAAGTGGGAGGGAGGTTGCCTGTTCTGTTCAGCCGTGCCTCTGCTTACACACCTGCTCCATGCCACTCCCACAGCGGGAGAGTCTTGAAGGACCGGGGGATAATGCCAGAGGGCTTCAGGTCCACCTCCAGGCACTTAGTAGCCATAAGCCCAGGGAGTCCTTAGAAACCAGGGAGTTAGCACATTGGGGTGAGGGGAGAATGGGAAAAAGGAACAGCTTGCAACTAATGGTGTTCTGGGAAGGCTTAGTACATTTAAAGTGCTAGGGGTGGCAAGTGGGGAACACAGGAGAAGGGATTGCAGTGTGGCCATCCCCCCAGAGGGTGATTTCTGGCTTTCTGTCTGTCTGCCTCTCTGGCAAACGCATGCGCCCTAGAGCAAAAATCTCTCACAAAAAGTGGGGCCCCATGGGAGGTTTCAGATCACCAGACCTTCGACTGCACAGCTCCAGGTGCCTGCAGTCATGCGCAGTGCAGCCTCGGATCAAGGAACGGCTCCAGGGTCAGGAGACCCAAGAGCTCCGCAGTCCCTGGGGAGTTGCGTTCCCCTCTGCAGCAAGGGGTGTCTTCCTGCCTCCACAGGTAAGAGCAGCTAAAGCTGCCCGGTGTCCAGCACCATTCTAGGTCTTTGTGGAAATGACTAGAGTCCATAACCCTGAGATGGGCACTGCCCTCGCCCCACTCATACAGGTGAAGAACCAGGCAGGGAGGCCTTAGGCTAGCTTTTTTTTTTAATTGAGAGAGAGGCAAGGACCCTCAACAGGGCCCCGTGTCACAATATCCTCCCAGCCAGGATCATGGGTACACGGTTCGACCAGGAACCAAACTCCTGGTCCTCCACATGGAGCCACCACTGCTGAGGCCTCATTTGCTCCCGTCTGACAGGTTCTGAAACATTTCCTTCTCTCCTTCACTTGGACCGTGATACCAGAATAGTCCCAAGTGACCTTGGCAGGTGGCACACAGGAAGGCCGGGGTCATGGCATGATGGCTATCGTGTGTCAGGAGTCTCACCTGCTCTGTACTCACATGCTGACCCCGTGGGGGCATGATTCCCACGCTACAGGCTGAGAACCTGGGGCACCAGTCCTCCACGGGTGGTCCATGCTGGTGGGAACCTGGAGCAGGGAGTTCCTGGGCAGCCCAGGAGGTGGACCTACTCCAATGGCCCAGCAGGGAATGCCAGGGCCTGCCTGCTGCCCGCAGCCCTGGGTCTAGGCCCTGCGCTGCCTTTCACTCACTGGGACGGGATCATCAGCTGCCTTCTCAGGGCCTGGCCCAGGACTGGAGGGTGTCCTGGAGAAGTTTATGGGGAAAGGAGCAGATTTAGCATCATAGTGTGGTTAAACTGTCTTGACGAATCATTGCTTAATGGTGCCTCTGGGCCATGGACATAGGCGTTAGGAAGAAAGCTCTTCAGAGTCAGCTGAAGCCTGCCCTGCCAAGCCTCGTCCCTCAGGCACTCCTGCAGAGCCCAGTCACCTCTGAGGTATGGCACCACTTCTCCCTTGGCCCTGCCTCCTCCTGGCCCCCAGGGAGGTCTTGTTAGAATCTGGGCCTAACTTGTCCGAGCTGCCTAAATAGAGATCTGAATAATCCCAGTCTAACCACTTTGTACAAAGTTAAAGCTCAGAAGGAACAATGGCACCCTGTGGTATTTAGCCAGTCCTTCCCTGCAGGTGGGTGTGAGTGGCTCAGCTCGGCCTCAACCATCACTCAGCCCTTCCCCAAAACAAGGAGGCCCCTTCCAGGATGCGTTCAGAAAACTAGAGCTTTATTGGCTCCTCGACTATTTAGTGAACACTCCTTAGCTGAAGACCATTTCCCATACCCAATTCCTCCCCCGGGGTTCGAGCCTGTGGCCTTTACCACCTGTGGGATCCAAGGAGCGGGTGAACACGGCAAGCGGGGTTGGGGGGGGGTTGTGAGTGTTGCCTTGGCACTCCCGCTAAGGCAAGCAGACTGGACAAGGAGCCATGCTTTCATGATGGGCCATTCACACTGGAGAGCTGGCAGCCCTGGGGCTTTTACGGCATCTTCCACCACCTGGAGGCAGAGTGCACTCAGCGAATGCTGGCCCAGGAGCAGAAGTCCCCCATGTCGGTCAAGTGGCAGTCACAGTCCTTAATGAAGGTGCACTTGAAGCCCAGGGGTTCTAGCAATGGTCATATCTCTTCTAAACAGTAGATACCTTTGATTTGGGGCCCAAAGGGCTTGGGGATCGCCAGGTTCTTGCTCGTCACAGTCATCTGCCACTATCAGAAAGATGGTTAGGGCGGGCGAGGCCTGGACAGGATTAGAACCATGGAAGGAAGGCCCCTCCCTTTCTCTAAGTAGGGAGTGCCTCGACCGTGTGACTGGGCCAGACCCGAGGCTGTACAGAGCACCACTGTCCAGGCCTGTGTTCATACAGACATCACAGAGTGAAATTCAGCTCACCTTGCTCCACCCTCCAATGGCTTCTGATATGTTCCAACAGAAAATCATACCCTGCCTGGCTGACACCTGGCTTTGCTGGCTCCCAGCTGCTTCTCTGGTGTTTCTGTCATTCTGGCCTTCTCGTCCTAGATGTACCATACTCCTGCTACCTGGTCAGTTTAGCTCATTTGAACGAGACCCTGGAGTCACCACTCAAAGAACAAGTGGTTTATTTGCCTCTTAAAAAAATTATCAGAGAGTGCCTATGCTCGCCAAAGAAGAGAGGCAGAGAGGAGAGAGGGAGAAATCACCCCCCGTGGGGCATGGTCCCATCGCAATCCCTCCTTCTCCATTTTTCCTTGGGGCATTTGGGGCAAGTATGCACATGTGCCTGGCATGTGTGTCAAACCACCAGGGCTGGGATTTGAACTATGGTTGGCCACGTGGGATTGGCTTCCTTAACCATTAGGCTATGGGGCAAGCCCACTTATTTGCCTTTTCTACCTTTGTTCTCCTGCAGTGATTAAAGGCGCATACCCTACTTCACAGCTGAAGGCGAGGCCAGAGCAGGCCGAGGTTACAAGGGGATCAGGAGGGGCCAGGGGACCTCCTAGGGTCCCATTCTTTGATCTGAAGACATCTGGCCTGTAGGCGCACCTGGGGTAAAAGCTGCTGCCAATGAGGACCCTGCCCAGGGGTACTCTTTACCTGGGACCTGATGGACAGGGACACGGTCAGGCTCCTGATGGAGTCCCTGCTGGCCACTCCATGGTCCTCAATGTACTGGATCACATGATCAACACCGGGGCTCTGGAAGGAGACCCAGCCCCCAGTCTTAGCCCTAGCCGAGACTCTCCCCGTGTCCCCTTCCTTCCCAGAGGCCACCTGGACCCTTCACTTACGCTCCATCACTTCAGAACAGGCCGCAAGCCTGAGAGGTTGGAGTGAGTTCAGATCAGCCAAACCAAGGCCCACACCAGTGAGAATTTCATGGGGAATTCCAAGTTTGAAGGTCTGAGGGGTGTCAAGGACCAAGGAGATTGTCCTGTGGGGTGCCTGGGTGAGGAGATGAAAACAGACCACGAAGTGACCTCACTCCAGCAGCTAAGCTTCTTGCCTGTCTGGCTCGTCAGCAGCATGGCTCCCTGGACCACTTCTGGGTGGTCCTTCAAA